TAATGGTAAATTAGGCGTGTCAATTACAGTTTGAAGAGCATCGACCTCTCTTACCACGTCCTACTTATCAGCTTCCTTCACCAGCACAATTGAATTCGCAGTTGCAGTACCAACAGCAATACGAACAACATCATCCGCACCATACACAGTTTGATTATATCAAACAGAGTCGATATCATCAAAACAACATGCCTCTCGTTGAACGACTTCCACCTCAGGTAATTTTGAATAGTAATTGAATAGGATGAAATGAAATAAAATATATTTGTTACATCAATAATTCTGTATACTTTTTTTTCGCTTAGATATAATTTATCATTCATTTTCAAATATTTGCTATACTTTAAAATACCAAAAAAAAAGCAATTTAACTTTTGCTCTGCATTTTTAAATTTTTGCACATCTGATTTTAAATATTTGATTAGAAATTGCATTCAAGTGGAATAGATTTATATGAGAGAGACTTCACTGTTTTTTTACTGAATTGATTTTTTTGATTATAATGATATTATCATTTTTTTTGCTCTTTTCCGCCTAATTTTGAATTTGATTTTCTCGTTTAAATTAGTTTTAGATTGTAAATGACTTATATAAAAAAATTCTTCATTTCATTCATTTTTTTTTGAAAAAAAAAGTGTTGCAGCGAAGGTTTACTGGTGGTCAAGATTATGCAACTCAAAATGGACAGGCAAGACAGATTGGCCAGAATGAAAAACCACCACAGTTTTGCAGTATACCATCTTCAGCAACAGTAAAAGCTGGTGATTCGATCACATTTGCAGCTAAAGTAAGTCTTACAGGAAGTGAAAAGAAAAATTAGCGAAAAAAATCCTAAATTTATTAATGTTTTGAAATAATTCTTTATACCAAAATTTTTAATTATGTATAAATTTTTTAAAATTTTTAATTATACAAATTTCTGCTTAAATTTGTCCTCAATTTCATGAAGTGCTTTTTTTTTTATTTTTGAAGATTACAAAAGAAAAAAATTTTTTCTTAATACCATTTTTTTTAAACTTTATTTATTCATATTTCTAGACAGTCGGTCAACCGGTACCAAATCTTAATTGGTATCACTCTGATGGCAGTCATATTACAACCGGTGGACGCTATGTGGTTGAGGTGCTAAATGATGGTTCCACAAAATTGACCATTAATAAATGTACAGCTGAAGATAATGATACTTACTTATGCGTTGCGGAAAATGAAGGTGGTGCCGTACAAATACGCTGCTCGCTTAATGTTCTTGGTAAGTTATTGAAACAAACCGGGCTTAACAGACAATTGTGCTCAATGTGGAAGGAAAAAAGATTTGTACTGCTATTTAATCCTACGCTAATGGTACAAATTTGGGCCGAAATACAAAAATTTAGCTGTTAAAATAGCAGAAAAACAGATAAATTGCTTTCATTATCAGTGATTTCATATATTGTTTCATGGCTTTTCAGTTACTATTGTAGTCGTATTGTATTTAATGAATTTATTTCAGAGCAAAAATCCGGTGGTGCACCTCAATTTGCTAGTAAATTTCAATCAGTGACAATTTATGAAGGCGATTCTTTAACACTTTACTGTAAAGCTGTAGGTGGAAAAATTCGAATGAATTGGTCCAAAGATGGTACACCGCTAAAAAGTGGTGGCTCATTTAAGTAAGCATTCGTTTTAGCATTCAAGTAAGCACTGACTGATTATTATTTCATATCTATCATTTTTAATTCACTAATTAGAGGAGAAATATGCTCCAATTTAACAAAACGTCTTTTTTATAACACACATACGTTTAGTTGCTAAAAATAGCACGTTTTAATTATATTTCTCTTAAAATTTTCAATTCTTTTGTTCAAAAAAAATATTCAAAGAGTTTATTTTTTTTGATTAAATTTACATTATTCATATAAATTTTAGAATAGAAGATAAGGGAAACGGTGAGACAACCCTGCAGATTCTTAGCGCTAAAATGGCTGATGGTGGTTGGTATCAATGTGATGCAACGAATGAATCCGGAATATCCTCTTTGAAGGTTTTAAATTAGGCCAAATGATATTGCTAAATTATGAAATTCAGATTTTTTGCCCTAAAATTTTGTTACTGTTGAAAATTTGTTTCTAAGATTTGTGATTTTTTTTTTTTTTAACAATACCTTACTGTATGACATATCGTAATTAAATTTGAGTGTAATTTGAATTCTTTTTTTTTTCAGGGACGTATAGTTGTTCAAACTCGCCAAAAATTAGAAACAACGAATAGAGATCAAATTACATTAAGAAAAGTTGACCGTCGCATGGCTAGGTATGTTTGAAGTTGGCACAAGTAATCTAAAAATTGAAAACAGTTTATGTATTACCTTAGGTTATCAGTGAATTTAAAGGAGGAAAAATTTTACGATTAAAAAGTTTGCTTTAAATTCAAAATTCAATTTATAAGAGATTTTAGGTATGGTGGTGGTAAAATGGAAGTGGATGCTGACGAGATACGAGAAGCTTCCAAGCAACCGCCAAAATTTTTGGATACAATTAAGAATTTAAGTTTAATTGAGGGTCAAACTGCTTTGCTCAGCTGTAAATATTCACCACCAGATGATCCGAATTTAAAAATAGCCTGGCTACTAAATGGAAAGGTGACCTTCGTTTCGTCACATTATCTTTTAATTTAAATAAAATTTTCAAATTATGAGAAAAAAACTTTATAGTATTTAGCAAATTATTTCAATTCTTTGTGTGTGGTTAAATTTGCTTTGTCTAAATTAAACTTCAAAAATTTGCCTATAATTTGAGGCTGTAATGACAAGTTCACGTTTGTCAACAGTAGCCGAAAAAGGTTATGCTGCTTTGGAAATTAACCCGGTTAAAATGTTCGACAAAGGTGAATATACGATAGTGGCTGTAAACACGCTTGGTGAAGCGCGACAATCTGCAACTGTTAATGTCATAGGTCAGTCGGTCTTTTAAGTTTCTTTATCTAAATTTACTTAAATTTATTTCTAATTCGGTTCTTCGGTCACCAAGTAATTCTTTATGATATGATTGATTTCTGTCGATCAATTTATTGAGACAAACTTAGTTAATTTGCGGAAGAAATTAATTTAAAATTTTGTGAATTTTTTTTCAGGACATCGTAGTGCCTTAGCAGATACCTCTAATGTTACTCTTTATGATCGATCTCAAGCTGGCAAAACAACTACAAAAATTGCCGAAATGCCAAATTTCCATGCAGAATTACGGTCAATGGAAGTTTTTGATGGTCAGGATGTCCATTTAGAAGCAAAATTTTCACCAGCAGATGATCCGAATGTAAAAATTTTGTGGTTTTTCAATGGAAAACCATTAAAGCAAAGTAAGTTAGAATAAGCTACAATATCTCGTTAAACATTTACCATATTCAATAATGAATGAAAAATGTAATTTTTTT